TTTTTTTAAGTAACTGCACATACCGGTATGTAACATTGAAATCAAATTAAAATTGTAATACAAGATTTGAGACTTACATAATCCATATTGTAAGCGAAGTCACCTGGAAAAAAAAAAGTTGGAATGGACTCCTTCAGTTACAAATTGTTAACAGTAAAAATTATTTTTCTTGATTTTGTATGCATATCAAAATACCCCATGAGATGAAGAATATGACAAAATAATATCTCACACAAAATTACAGTTGCAATTTAACCAGCTATAAAAAGAAATCATTGGAACCAAAAAAATGTTCCTTCACAGGAGAGCAGGATGTGTCCATGTACACAGATGAGTAGCTCTGGGAATCCAAAAAAATCTATTTTTATTTATATAAATGTATTAGGCAAAAAATGTCCTTAATAATTAAGTCGCCTGCCTTGACAGTTTCTAGTCTTTTATTTTTATCAAACCTACTAACAGCTATCCCTGGGCCAAAGGTTGACATTGAAAAAACATAAATTGCTAAATTTATACAAAACTCCATGTTTTGCCTTATGAAATTGTTCCCTCACATACTTGGGAAATGGCATTTCCAATCCCATAAAATTTATATATTTTCATGTTTGGGAAAGGAGCACATTCCCTAAACCCTCTAACTGCTTGTGTCTTCTGCACTCAGTTAACTTTCTCATCAGTGCATGCTTCATGAAAAATGCATGCCACACCCCTGCTTCAGGAATAGTGTTGACACCGGTCTACCTACAGTCTAGAGATGTCTGTTAGCAGCAGTGCAACTGATTTTTTTTTTTTTTTAACTTACAATAGTGCAGTACTTCGTAAAGAACTCTTGCTGTTACAGTGCCGCTCAGAACTAAGCAAACATCCAACCCGTGTTCTTAACACGAAGGGTTAAAAGCGCACGCGCATTTTGCTGCGTTAGACTGTGTTAGGACTTCGCATTATAATGCATTAAAGTAAACATATTAGTACGTATGAGCTTTGTTATTGTTCGCTTATTTTGCTACTGTGTGAAAGGAAGTTAACGACCTTTTCTACAGATAACATTCAGTATGAATATGATGTGTTTTCAAGGAGCAGATAAGTTCTAATTCTTCTGTACCAGCTGAATATAGCCCTTTGTATAGTGGCGGTTACATACAGACCATTTTGTTCTGTCTGTTTGGATTCATCCAACTTACAAATAAATTGATTTGCATTTCTAAAAATCAACATATAGGCTAATGGTGTACATTCATTGTATGTCATGTGAGGCATTACATGTAGACATCAGCTACAAACTACATATTTGCTCATAAGAAAGCAAGTCTAACTGTTAGTATGTGTAACACTGCAATAACAACCTGTTCACCACATGTACATGTAGCAATTACTAAACAGGAATTACCCTGTAAAATTTATGTGGGACTTTTGGTCACTAAACTAAGTTACAGTATACATGTTCTTGCCACTGAGATTTGACAATATCTGTGAATCATCCTAGGCCACTGAAAGTATAAACAAAAAATATATATTTATTTGTCAAAACCTACCAACATGAAGAACAGCATCATATAATCCGTTCTGTGTGTCTTCTTGTAGATGGCATATAGATTTAGCATTGACACTTCCTAGATCTCCATAAAAAGCTATCCTTGGACTCCAGTCCTCACCAGACTTTAGGGCAAAAAAGTGATACAATCCACTCCAGCCATCATATCCACCAACATGGTAGTCTACGAATTAGACATTACGTCCATACATGAAGATTTTTACAATTTAAATTCCCCCTTTTCTCCTTTAATTAGTTTTACATACTTTTGATTGAGAAGATCTATATATCAAAACACTCAAGACCAGGTTTGACCACATTTTCAAACACCTCAAAGTTCGTCACAAATACATTATACAAAATTGTTGGACTTTACAATTTCGGACATTTCTTTCAGACATTTCATTTTTGGACACTTGTTATCTCATTTCAGACAAATTTTGGACAACAATTTCGAACACTTTGCTGAAACATAGCCAAAGCCAATTAGAAAACACCAATTAGACTGGAACAGCATTAAAATATGATAGTTTTACTGGCAGCACCCTCAAGGTTTACAGTTTGCTCCATAAACTCCGGCTTAAAGGAAACTGAGAGCTTTTGAGTTACTTCAAAGTTTTATACTGTACTGCGAATATTTCAGACGCTAAAATTTCGGACCTTCAAATATTTCAGACGGTTTTATTTTCAGACACTTTTTTGTCTGAAATTAAAATCATTCGAAATGTTTTTGCAAGTAATGTACTCTGCTGCAAGTCGTATTTTCGACTCTCTTCTCAATGTTTCAATATGTGGTCAAACATGGTCTTTCGTGTTTGACATAGCTTTTTAACTCATGCTACTTTATAAGTTAGAATACAAGAATAATAAGAATACAAGTATTAAACCATGGAAACTATTCATTTACTGTTAGTAACAGCTTAGTCTAGATAGCGATCTAATCAAAGTTATCATGTACTTTTGTAATATATGCTACATGTATAGCCCTTGTTTTGTCTATTGATCAGTAGTGCTAATTATATCACAAGCCAAAAATGCTACATGCTCTGACTAGTCATTGTGCAAGTCTCACGCCAATGTTTGGAAACCTGATGAAACAGTGTCTCTCATAAAAAGCAATGTAGTTCGTATAGTGTGATCATCCGGGTGAATGTAGTTCTAAAAAGACCTGTTGTTGGTGACCGACGTTTCGAAAACCTGAGCGGAAGTCATCTTCAGAGTCAAGTGAATAGTGTTTGTCAGTCGATGATGTTACTGTATAAGTCTGGTCCATTGAACGATATTGGTCAGTATACATGTAGCCATGATGGTATTGGCTGAAAGACTCATGTGTGTCTTAGGAACAATGTGTTAGGAAATTGAATGAAAAACAATCTTGAGTCTGATATATTATTTAAGAATTCTGCATCAAGCTAAACGGTCCATAGAGGTGACGCTTATCCTGGTTTTGTAGCATTAGGGGAGTAGATTATTTCTACTTCCCTCGGTTGGTTAGCAAGTCCATCGCAGGGTTAACCCTGTCTTGTAGATAATTATTAGACAGTATTTACACTTCATGTCAATGTCTTCAATGGGACAAAGTTAACAGGGGCAGGGGGGAATTATTGGAAGGAGTGCATATTAGAATAGAGGTGCCTATAACAAAATGAAACTCTGACAACAGTGGAAGCAGTGGAAGCAGTTACTAGAAAGGTGGCATTTCTTGCAGAGAGCTATGCCACTCCTAATCTTTCCCTATCCTTCACCATTCTTTTCTGAACTATTGCTAACTCTTTCATTTGATGATTTCCTACTCTGGCGAACTATTGATTCAAGGTCTCTAACAATTTGAAGGTAATTTGTATATCAAGACACAGTCAGAGATGTCATTAAGGGCTGGGCACTAGGAAACCTGACCAGCTGTGAGAATGACTTTGCCATCTGATATGACATCTTTGGGAATTCTTATTTCTTGCATTGAAATCTTCAATTCAAACAGTTGTACCTGCCTGTGAAAACAATTTGCCTTCCTCTTGAAAACCTTAATGAAACCTTCATCGCCAGTCCTTTACATATTTTTTTAAAAGATTGCAGACCATCACATCTACAATAAAGCAAGAAGCCGGCTTGCAAGAGGAGCGTGCATTTATTTAAAAAAAAAAAAGCCTGCTTGGGATAAAACCAGAGAGTTTATAACAATGAGCAGTGAGCCATGTGAGAGTCTAGTCAGTGCTGACATATTTATGTGATTGCTATGTCCTCGTAAGACTTCCTTGAAGTTCACAAATTCTAAATTTATTTTATTCCGACTTGAGTCACAGATTTTAGAGATGTACAGATGAACAACTCAATGAGTACATTTACATACCATATCTTTGACCAGGAACCAGTCCTGTCAGTTTCACCCTGTGGATATACAACACCCGATGTTCTGATCCGCCGTCAGTAAATTTAGTAACACCACCAGACGCTCGTAATGTCAGAGGAAAACCAGCTTTGTTGTATTCCACAATAGTGTAGTTTGTATATGCTAATGTCACCCATGTGACCATCATCTCTGTGGGTTCTCTTGCAAGTGACAACACATCTATGTTAATAACAGAAGCAACTGCTTCAAAATTATCTAACAGATGATCTTTTAGTTTTACTTTGCCCGTCATATAGCAGAGAATTTAAATGCGACCAGTGACGGGGGAGTAAGCTGACTGTTATGGTTAATCTGGGGTATTAGAGAGGCAGAGAACAGTCTATTACATAACAATAACTATGTACCTAGCGCTGTAGCTCAAACTCGTATACAGTCTATTTGTAAATTTCGCTTTCAAATCGCATTCATGAGCTTAAATTGTATTTTAAGAGAGAATTCTTTGACCACAGTACATCCTTCTTTTAAAAAGAAAGATCAACTAACGATTCTCAACGCTTAAAATCGAGCTGACTTCGGCAGATTTATGAAATAATAAAGTAAGCTTGCATGTAGGCTTACATGTATTTCCGTGGTAGCGAAAAAAACAACCGAAAAAAATAACTCACTTTACAGACTTGATTATCTAAAGTTCATTAGCAGATACAAAATTTTCAATTTATACAACTAAGTGTAATGGCTGGTCTGTTCCAAGATTCGTGTTTTCATTATTTCACGGTTTTAAAACTATTTCTTTCTCTACCTGTAGCTGAAATATGAATCTGCTCGGGCTGGGGATCAGCTCCACAACAGATATGTAGAGAACATACCAAAACGAACAGCGCAACCTTCCACGAGCTCGACGCCATGTCTATTTTGCCGACCGCTGCTTCCCGTTGCTATTTTTTTGTTGTTTCTCCGCACGCACGGTGGGTCTGGGTATTTGTCACGTGTAATGCATTTGACTGTTGGAGCTGTGCACTAAGTCACGCCACCTGACGTGACTGGAGCTTTTTTGTGGTCGTCAAAATTAGATTAACTGGCAGTCAGGCAAGGACTTTATGCGGACTTAACATGCATAACTGGGAGAAGTTATGGTAGCCAACTTTGTGTACATTGTACATTGTTCGACCGGTCTGTTTTTTGCGGGCGTTTTTTTTTT